AATCTTAATTTTCAACTATCTACTTCGTTTTTCTCGCATGGAGATAGAAGAAAAAAAAATAGGAAATCCAAACTGACGACTTTTCCAAAATATTATATTACGTACGTTTTTAGTTTCGCCGTTACTCTCATTATTGGATATATGCCAGCTTTTGTTTTGTAACTGCTTAATATTTGTGTGCATACCGGGAACAGGTATGTGGAAGATTTCAGGCACCACAGCAATCGGGAAGTGCCGCATTCACGATTTCACTTTTTTATTTTTTTTTTCGAGAACAAAATGTGTTGTACTGTTTCAGTTCATTCACTTCCAATTTGTAATTCTTCAGCAAACTGTGATATCGTACTCGAGTTAATTGGGATCTAAAAATTCGAAATATCTCCCATCAAAGGGTTGGTGAATTCGTTAAAGGTAGTTTTTTTAAATAATTTTTCCATAACCATAACTGGCCAGACTTCTTCCTGCTCAAGTCAAGGTAAGAGATCAGAGATAATTAAACTAGTTTTAGATCTGAAAATATGAACCGTTTGTTCATATAAGTATTAGTGTTCTTTAAAAAAGTCAAGAACAGATGTGCAGAAGATCCAGCGACGAAAAAGATTAAGGAAGATTAAAAAGTGTCGCTATAGTAATACAAACACTTCATAATATTTTCAAGACTGAGAGCAAATAAACTAATCTTTATTACGACTAACCTTGGCAGATGATCTATATTAGAGTGTTCAAACATAAATCAGAACAAGAGACAACGAGCTTGATCCTATTCCATTAATATTTCAGGTTATTTAATTTAATGCTCCATTCAGTCCGTTGTTTATTCCCCATGAAAAAGCTTTTAAGGCATCCGCCCATCTAATAATGATGATTTTGCGGTTTAGTTCAATTTAACGACTGCAGAGATTACAACCCAATATTAAAGTTCTAGCAAGACCAAGTATTCCTGTCCTGTTTTGTTAACTTTTCAACTAATTTTTGATAGCAAAAAAGTAAAAAAGAGTGACAATACCGTGACAATGAAAAATATCCCCCTCTTTGAAAATATCTCAGTTATTTCGGAATACCAGTCCCTGATAACCGTACTCAATTAAACTTGAAATCCTTGACGATAACCTGCTTTCGTCGGACCAAATCTCCCCTCCTCATAGCCCTCGCAGTCAGTTCGAAGCGAAATTGAAATATGATAAACGAACGAATCAGAGACACATATGTAGCATGCTACACAGAAAAACATAACACGCAGATATG